CAAGTCAGATGAAATCCTGGTGTATCCTGCCAACTTGTGGTCGGTGTTACAAATTTTAAAATTTGTTCCAGTTTGATGGATAAAAATTAATAATAATATCAAAGTTTTCAATATTCAAGGCCACATCTTGCGTACGAAGGCGTGCATTGGACACAAGCATTGCACAAGAGGTAGTGGGTATAGCCACAAACAGTCCAAAGTTATTGGCGTCTGGCCGGCGATAAAGAGACTATAGGCGGGACGATAACCATGAGAAATCAATTACCAGCGAAGACTCGCGCACGCAATCGTTCGTTTGCACGCACCTATACAAAGCTGAGGACCGTGTGGGCTAAAACAATTTTATCCGCAAATAAATACTCTTTTAATTGCATTGTATTTCAGCATTATCGTCGGCTTCAGCCTGGTCCGTTCGTAATTCTGATGACGATTGTCGCGCTGTGCTGCAAGGCACTAACAAATTCGTACTAGCTGATATGTTATATTTGTTATCAGTAATCTCTAGATGATTAATAATACTCATTATACGGCCTTTTTATTAAAAAATAGTAGTTAATTTTACATTTTTTATTAATAACATTCCGTGCGAATTGAAAGATCACAAAGCAATTAATAACAAACAAATATATTTACTAACAATATTTAGAAATAATATTAAAAAAATAATGTTGACGGATGTATTCAATGGTCTTACATAACATAATATTTTTAGATATTATGTATACCTTAACCTTGAAGTTTTGTTCTCAATATGTTGACATAAAACGACTTTTTGGTGCAAACAATCACTGATCAAAGCTTATCAGTCGAGTCTTTACTATGCACTAAGAATGTAATTGCTCACAGTATGGCTTAATTCTAAACCCAGTCGCAGTTCGAACTGAAACTAATTGACCAAAAGCGTACTATTTGCAATAAATGAGATTTCGGAGTGGGATTTTTTTTTCGCTCTCTAAATCATTCGAGAACAAAATTTATCTCCTCGTAAATGTGTACCCCGCCACCTGGGCAGAAGTGCAGATACGTATAAACTCATACAATCACTCCCAGATCAAAACAAACATGTTTATTACCACACGATCAATGCGAGTGAAGAAGAAAATACTTTAAAAAGTCACTTTAAGTCACTTTTCTCGACCCCCTGAACGCTAATTTATAGTTCGGCAGATTCTGGTATAAATTCTCTTGTGACAACGGCTGCATGTGAGATCTCAACGCCCCGAGATAAGTACTTACCATACAGTAGCAAATTTCATTCCATAACATAAAAAAGAGCACGCGCTAAACTTACATAAATGACTCTGGCCATATTAAACAGCAAACACGACGTGACTTTCACGATTCATTACTCACTCGATCTTTATGATTCAAATACAGCATTTATGTAGGCAATAATTTGGCCTAGGTTGTGCTCGAGACCCAGTTGCATTTATTACACATTCATTTGAATATATCGATCTGCATTATTTCTTTTGGTTGTATAGTTTCTGTTTTATGTTGAAAATTATTTACAGATCTTTACAAATTTCAATTAGAAGTGGCATAATGATGGCTCATAAATAACGAATGACCATACCGCTTAGACATGAGAAATATTAGTGATGAGAGCGAATGTTAAAAATTTATGGATGAAATATCCTTCGTCATCCTGGAGTAATGTCCTCACGTCAGAGCCAATAATGAGCCACTGCCACATTACTATTCATATTATGGTATAGCAAAGATGGCTCGAGAATCCGTAATTGCGCATCCTATATAGTAGGCTATGCAACATGTCCACAAGAGCGGCACAATCCAGGCAATGAAGCACTGCTGGATCATTATCCTTTAAGCCCAAGCTGTGAGCCCTTTATACTGTGTATATATTACAGTTGACATTTAAAAGCGACTCCAAAGACTCATCACTCAAGCCCTAAGCGTAGAAGGCCTTGGTAATCGCCGGGAGGCAGGCCATAGGCTCAACGTGTGACTGGCAACGAGAGTGGTGTTCATTTGCCTGAAGGCTTCGCGTGCAAATGACAGGTTGTTCGCGGCTGAGCTTAGACCAAATTGACACCGTCGTCGTGTGCTCCCAAAATAATAGTGCACACCTTACCTGACGCAGCTCTCGCCTCCGTACGACACGGCTATCGAGGAACCATCATTTTCGTTTCAGTTTCTTATTTGTTATCAACTTTATACATCTGAGTATGTTGTAAATTATGGCATAAACATCGAGTAAAATCCAGGTCAAGCGCCTCTACTGGGTATACAAATCGTTGCCATTGGAGCTCCCTTAGGACAGGGAACCACGTCAGGAGCCTATAAAGTTGAAGACGTGGCGCTATGACACCTCGACTGCCATTCAGAGGGTCTCCACTCAAAACTCTATACTCAGTTGCGTCACTTATATCGCGTGCACAAATTAAGTAAAGATGTCTAAAATAGTAACCAAATATAAAATATCGTAAATAGACATTAATTAAAATTTAATTTCGTACAACAGAATTTGCAGTTTCGAAGAAAAATGTTTAAGAGGGCAGATAAAATACCCGTTCCGTGATTCTGCGGGGCAGGAAGAAAAAACCGAGAAAAATAAAAACTTAGCTTGAACGTTTCTTCTAGTACCTACAAATTCTAAGGTGATAACAATAAAAACAAAAAATAACTGGAGTTTAATTACAGTTTACAGTAGAATGTTGTGAAAAGAGACCAATTTGTCCACTCTGAAGAGCATTCTGATCCAACTTAGGATGGATTTTCAGAAAATAGATCAAATATTCTGAGCAAATGATAGAAATCATGTTTCAGCTCGTATAGTGTTTCCTTCCTCGAATCGCATTGTGGATATAAAAAATCAACATCCAGAAGCATTATTAAAATGATATATAACGCCACAATCTAAGCGTTGCTTGTTAACCAAAAATTTTATTACCAGCAGTAAATTTTCGAAACCCTCCACAAAAATACCAATTTTCATGCATATAAACTCTTATGAAAGTGTTCAACCTTACCGATAAGCCTCATACAATTTTTTAATGTACTAACAAGTCTGATTCAAGAAACGACAACTTTGAGTTTAGCGGCATTTAGCGCATTCCTCGTCCAGCCTCGGAAATTCATGGTGCAGTTTAGTTGCTAAACGAGGCGGCCGGGCAGTGGCCGGCATATGTCCGGGAATGTTATGAGCGGTCAAGAGGAGCTTTAAGTTCACTGGCAGTGGGCATTGCGTTGTGGCCGCACAATTAGGAGCGACTAGAGGCGACCACCAAATAAATACTTGCTCGTCGAAGATTATTGCCAGGCCACTTCTTAGGAGCCCAGAAAACATGGCGCGTGAGCATGCATCTTACAATTGTCTCAGCAAGCCGTGTTCGGTAGTCGAGCGTCCGTCCCTCCTCTCAGGCACACAAAGCAACACGACTTCTCGAACTTTATCAACCCAAACGCCAAAATTTTGTATTTTTGAATGCAAAATCATCTGAATCATGTGAAAACCTATCTCTAGTATTTAAATTGATGAAAATAATTTGTAAGCTATCATTTTTGGTGTTGCTAGATCGGTTCTAGGTTAGATAATTTAGTCTCTCAAAATTTCTTTGTGAACTCAAAAATTTTGTGCCCAATGCGTTTTCGTAGCTATTACACTGCAAAGAGCTTTATTTGCGATTCAGAATATATGTTTACAAGGGTAATAACAATAGCAAAATTGAGAGCAAAGAAGTGATAAATAATAAACTTCCGGGGTTCTGGATAGAGTAGAAGAAAAATACATGAAATAATTAGTAAAAATATTCAATTAGTTGCGAACAGCGGGATTGCGAACTGAGATCGGGTACATCCTACATGGCAACAAAAGATAGTCTTGAACGTTTTCTTCAAAATCAAAAAGAAAGTTTTTCCAAAAACTAAACCAACCATGAATATATATAAAGCAGATGCTGAAAATTAAACCTTAAACCTGGACAGCGTTTCAGCACTGAAAAGAAGCAAATGCTTGATATCCGAAGATCAAAATGAGTGCATACCAGTTTTAATAGACTAAGCATAAAATCAATCACTGTGCTTCACGTCGCTTGCAAATTGTGTGGATGTTGTGCATCCAACACACGATATCCAGTCAACTGCTATCATCGTGTTCCACATCCAACACACGACATCCATTCAAACGCTACGCCGTATTCACTCAACTGTCAACTTCATCAAGCGTCCACTGGAGAAAATCATCAAATTGCTGGATGATCACATTAATGACTGTAACAATGCACTAAAAATTACGTTAGTTGTCGCCATGCGCTCGAGAGTAAAGTTACTTGAAGAAGACGCAGCGGTCATGTGCATATTTTAATTAGAAAGCTACCGATATCAATGAGGAAATAATTATAAAGTTTCAATGCTCGGTAACTCTGAATGATTATTTCATTAACAATTGAGTAAAACAAGATTGCTTAATTAAAACAAGAGGTGACAGGATGAATTTGGAACTAAATGCTGCCAAAGCAGAATTATATTCATCTAATATAACTTTTTTTATTGGGAACCTGCTGGCATTCCACAGAAGAGAAGCTTAAGCTTAATCAAGATTTCATCAACAATTATATTTCATCTTTCCTGTAACAATAATCTTTTTTACTCCAAACCATTATGAATTACAGAGAGACCTGTTCAACTCATCATTAAACACCGTCGTATTCATTTTAAATTACCGTTATAAAATTCCCGAGAAGGAAGGTTGCATTCATCATTATTAAAATGAATTTAATCATAATAAATGTAAACAAAATTAATAATAATAAATATCAAACAAAATTATTAATAATAACTTTCAAACAAAATAAATAATACTAAATTTCAAACAAAATTATTAATGACAAATTTCAAACAAAATAAATAATAATAAATTTTAAACAAAATTATTAATAATTAATTTTAAACAAAATTATTAATAATAAATTTTATTTACAATTTTCCAATTCAAACCAAATTTTACTCCAAGATCTCACCATTATTAATTGACCCACCTTCTTGCAGAGCCTGGAGAGCCCTGGTAGTAGCGTCAGAGGAGCTGAGGCTGTAGCAGTGGTCGGTGGCAACGGAGGGACAGGTGCCACTGCCACCGCCTGCATCGCTGTCATCTGTCACCTGATGGCACCTGTTAGGTTGTGCAGCTGTGACGTCTGTACCACCTGTGTCAGATGCTGACAGCTGAGGTTTACTGTCAGCTAGCACGTCACTTTCAAATTCCGGGAAACCATCTTCCGACTTTAGCTGTCGTTCTTGTTGAGCGATGATAATCGAGCTTATAGATTCCAGGGTGGACGTCAGCGTAGATAAATGACTGAAGACGCCTAAAACAATGAAAAAATTATAAGAATGTTTTTGCAAGGCAGAATCATGAAGCTACATAATTAATCCAAAGACCAAAATCACAAAACCTAGTATTGAGCGATTGTTTCAGGATTTTATGAAGATTATAAGTAAATCTAAAGCAGCAGAGATTGAAATATAAATAAACTGGAGCCAATATGATTGACATAGCTTTAAATTAGAATATAAATAGGAAATTTGGTACCCAATTAAAGTTGTTACTAATAATCAAATAAAATATGTGCTATAATACGCAATTATTAATCTAGATTCATTACTAGATAAACCACCAATTAAAACGGCTTCCAAAAAAAAAATGCTAAATATAAGAAGAAAGTACTCTTATATAGGACATGCACACGGAATTTTAAAGAAATATCGCTGATAAGAGAGGTAAAAACTAGACGGTGTTTAATGTATGCCCTAGAAACTCATTCAAAATTTATAGTCCCTACCAGCGCCGCGCACGTATACGGAAGATCCAATGATAAGCTACTGGCGCCCGCCGACAAAACTAACACTTCCTTTATGTCATTTTCAGCACAACATTTCTACACATAAAAGTACTGCCCTGTTGATGAACTTTCTATGGTAAAATGTGAACAAAGCATGCACTCTACGGACCCAAATTAAATAATTACTTGCTAAGAATACCTCCTGTGTACATCAACCGCAAGAGATTATATGCGAAAATCTAAAATTTTCTCCTCGCTCGATTCAGTGGCTTCTTCAAAATTACAATTAAATGAGAAAAATTCGACGAGGTACCTACGGAAGCAATTAGATAAGCATCATTTTCATTATTATATTCCTCTAAATTAAGTCTTTTTGCTAATTATGCTCGATTTCTGGGCAAATCACTCACCAAGGGAAGCTTCAGTGATGAGCTTGTCCTGCAGCACGACATCACCACCGCCCCCAGCAGCAGCAGGTAGCGGGGCGCTGGTTGGTGTCGAGGCCTCCAGCAGCCCGCACAGCTCCAGGTCTGTGGCGGCGGCACGCAGCGCCTCCTGCCAAGTGAAGAAAAAATATTTAGGTCAATAAAAGGAAAAGGCAAATGGTAGACTAGAGTAATTTTGCTGTTATTGATGTTATTATTTGGTAGTAAACTTAGTACAGTTCTTAATAGAAGTGTCCAGCCGCAGAACATCCGTTACATAGCAGGTTCGATCTTCCCTTCGACCTCTGCCGTTAAACAATTCTGTTTACCCACTTTACTGGAACATAGCTTTATCCCGAGCCCCTCAATGACAATCACAATCCTATTTTCTCCCACTGAATTTCTTATGAGTAATAATTGCAAAACAAATTAAAGAAAGTTTTTAAACATCGACGAAAAATGAATGGTACAAACTTTATTATAGTTACAAATAAAAACACTTCTCATTTCGATCCGTTGTCGTGCAGAATGAGTCTATATGGTAAGTTAACTAGTTCGTCGAATTCACCTCCATATTCCAATTAGACGTCAACGAGTCAGAAAAGACATGAGCAGGTAAACCAATTAAATCCCATGATTGCAATAAGATCGGTAATAGAAATTGATTTGACTTCATTAATCGCAACTTAAATGTTTTTGCGCCAGCCTGCCACGACTGCCAGCGACTCAAGATCCAAGTCACTCAAGTCAATTCAACTATGCTGCTCAGCCTACTTTCATTTATAAATTTGAGTTGGTAAAAACTAAAAATTAATACAACAATAAAATTACTCCTAATTCATGATACGTTGTGCAGGTTAAAACACGTAAAGATATCAAAATACGGTAAATCATTAATCATGAGTTGAGCACTGAAAATTTATTTCAGTTTCCCTGTGAAATTCAGAAGCAAGCGAGAAAACTTGCCAGGGAGTAACTGCTGGAAACAGCCAATGTCGACAAGCATTGCAATAAAAATAAAGTTTGAAAATTATAATTGTTGCTTATGACTAAAGCCCATTTTAAAAAATTCTCTCACTAAGTCAAGAAACCATCAGACTTCAGCAGCTCGCATTCATCGAATAACATAATGAGAAGAAGACATACGAAATTATATAGCAACAGGCATCTCCAATTATTAGCCCCATTACACCCTCCTAAACAAACGTTTATTTAAACCAGAAAACAATATTATTTGCTGTATAATGGGCTTTATTTCGTTATAAGAAGACTGACAGATGAATGTTACGCAACCTTGAAACTGTCCACCAGCAACATATATCGACAATTAAAGATGGAGACCACTATCTCAACCACAAACTACCTTGGTTGCATGCACAATAACCACTACCTTCACAAGTCACGCATGCAACCGATGACGGCAGGCTACAGCATTAGATGATGACGGCAGGCTAGAGCATTAGACGATGATGGCAGGCTACAGCATTAGATGATGACGGAAAGCTACAGCATTAGATGATGGCAGGCTACAGCATTAGATGATGACGGCAGGCTACAGCATTAGATGATGATGGCAGGCTACAGCATTAGATGAAGGCAGGCTACAGCATTCGATGATGATGGCAGGCTATAGCCCGTATTTACTCAAGGTCAATTTGATACATCATAATTTCACTCTGCTACGGTTATGTATAATGAAATTTTGCTCACTGCATCATTACTGCAGGTGGTCTGTGTTACAGATAAATCTAGGAGCGCGTCTGGGTTATCACCGGCCACCATGTGGCGTCCTTATCACTCGGTGCACCGCGCTGGTGATCTAATCCTCAGCCTTCCATTCATTAGTTATCAGTTGGAACTAATTAATTAATAAAAGTGAAGTAAAGAGGCCACCCTGAAACTTGATTTTTCCTCTCTAGATTCAAAATCTTAGGAAGAAAAATGTTAGAAAAGTAGACTTGAATCAAGTTGTGTAAGAGTGTTCATCAAAGATAAAACAATAATTAAGTTAGGGCTTGGAGCGAAATGAATATTTAAGTTACTTCATTTGGACAATCTAGTGAGAATTGCAAACATAGTCGCGATTAACGTTTTAGCCTATTCTGCAGTGAGTCGTACTGTACGAAAATGACATCGAAGTGTACTTTAGCCTATTCTATAGCTATACTGTGCGGGAAAAGCTCATGGAGCAGTATACATTAACATATTTTGTAACTATACTGTGCCGGAATGGGTCATGAAGCAGTGTACATTAGTCTACTATTTTGTAGCTATACTGCGCGAGAATGGGTCATGAAGCAGTGTACATTAGTCTACTATTTTGTAGCTATACTGTGCGGGAATGGGTAATGAAGCAGTGTACATTAGTCTACTATTTTGTAGCTATACTGTGCGGGAATGGGTAATGAAGCAGTGTACATTAGTCTACTATTTTGTAGCTATACTGTGCGGGAATGGGTAATGAAGCAGTGTAGATTAATTTATTTTGTAGTTATACTGTGCGAATGGCTCATGGAGCAGTGTACGGTCGGTAAAATTATTATTTTTCTTTATGATTCAACGGTGCAGAAAGTTTGAAATATTTATTGAACCAATCTCGTTCTAAGATAGTGCAGATATAAAGAGCAGACCGACCAGCAAGGGGTGCGTAGATGGCATACAATATTCCACATCGATCGCACGGCACACAGACGATGGGTGGTAGGGAGCTAATTGTACACTGATTCTGCTAGTTATTCAATTTGATATATAAGGCCGTTCCACATATATATTTGCGTCGGTCAATATTCTCCGGCAATTCGCTGCTCAAAGTAAAACTTCATGAAGGTGCTTGAGTCCCGTTTTTCGCGTCATAAAATGCAGGTTTCGTTTAGTAGAAACATTTCAAATTCAAAATGCGCTTCATTGGGCTATTTAGGCTGAGTATCTAATGTTTCATCATATATTAAACCCACCTAACAAGCGTTTAGGCGGGTGAAATATTGAAGTGTAACAACTAACCTCAACGATAATCGTTTTTCCTCTCTAAATCCACATGATTGGAAGACGATATACCTAATCTGAACGTGTGCAAGACAGCAGCAAGACACGAACGTGTGCAAGACAGCAGCAAGACACGAACGTGTGCAAGACAGCAACAAGACATGAACGTGTGCAAGACAGCAACAAGACATGAACGTGTGCAAGATAGCAGCAGGAGTCAACTGGCGGACGTTAGCGGAGTCACAACACCCCGGACTGCAAGAGTTTGTTTGGCTGTAATGGCTGGGCTGGCTGCTTGAGTTAGGTTGCAGTGCTTGCGCGCCCGCAACGCGACACGATAGAGCAGTGGTCAGTGATTATGATCTCAGTTTCAGCCAGTCCCTTGGCACCCTATCAAGGTGGAATGAAAACCCGGTTGCTGATTATCTCTAAATCTTTTCAATCGCCTGATGCGAACACTTATTAGGGTTATTAGAGGAACACTCCTTTCAAGGTACATTCGCTTATAAAAGTATCCGTCCTAAGAGGACCATAAGCAATAAGAAGACTTTAAAATAATTAAACATGAGAGTAGAGTGTCAGGTCACTGAGATGAATTGATACTAGTGCTAATACTAGTGTCAATACTAGTGTCTAAACTTTGTGCTCTTACTAGTGTTCATTCTTGTCTTGGTTATGTAGTGTCAGTTATAAACTTCGACAGGAAGTCCAGTCGTAGCAAAGGTTCAAGCTTTGTTACGGTGACAAACTTCAATGACATTAAACTTTGCTTATAATCTATACATATCTACACTGGAAAAAATTCCTAGTAAGTAATTAACAGTTTGTCCTAAGCTATGCTTTCTATTATAAAAGAATTTTTGAAGCGTCATCTCCAACTTCAAATTCACTTTCGGAATTAATTCGCTTTCATCGACTTCTTTTGTTTTGTCTATCTTTCTCGTAATTCTGCAGTTTTTGTGCTCTGCGCACAAGCGTCACAGAAGCTCGATCAGCTCCGTTATAGAGGACCGAAGTACACGTCCTCGCAGTGCGCATAACGGCGCTCATACGCGCACAGCTTCCCAGAACGCAGCTCCCACTGAGGCTTGAGCGCAACGACACGATCGTAACCTGCTGCAGTGATACTCTTGACATCGTAAAGCATGTACCAATCTATATTGGCTTTATGTTCATTTTCTAATCATGCAAAAATAGAAACGAAAATCTATTCTTAATTTGCATAATTCTTCATGATTTTTTTCCTTAATTAGACGCATTACTCAGATAATAATTTCTAAGAATAGGCAATTAGACTCATCACTAAATTAATCGTGGTTGAACTAATAAAATTAATAGCCAACATCCTCAACGTACTTTGCAAAATTTAATCCCTAACCACATCAACAGTTAAGCTAGAACATTTTCTATAACGAAGACATGATAAAATATCAGCGATGTTTAGTCCGCCGTTGACACAACACAAATTTAAGAATAGCAACTGCAGGACGATAATAGAATGTAAGTTACCAGGTGAGTGGCCGTAGCGGTCGACGGCAAACAAGTGAAACAACTTCATCTTGCATCGCCAGTGACCGCGCTGCTCAAGGCTGCATTGCTGCAGCGAGATCTCGCTTTGAAACTGCATTGCCATTAGTATTTCCACACCTAACCTCTACGGCTAAACCTTTCTTAGTACAGTTTCTCTAAAAAACGAATATAATCCGTCTTTATATATATAGATGAGGATATTATTACAAATAGGATGAAACAAAATCTAAAACGACATCATGGACACACTGGACAGTACTCCGAGAAGCATCAATTTAGGATATCGACTAGGATCCTACTGTAGCAATAACCGGAAGATTTTATTATATCACAATTGAATCTTCTTAGACTGAAATAACTCTAAATGCAAACCGAAGTTCCGCTAATTTCTCCTAAGTTCACTGAATGACTCAAACGGTGGTGGTTAGATGAGAATCAACGAACTTTTAAATTTAAAGGCGTAAGATTTTAATAAAAAATACCTTAGAAAGCACATGATCCTTGACCGCGAGTTTTCTATGAATTGAGGCAATAGGATTTACGAGACTTAAATTTAAGCCGCAGATCCCGCGAAGAAGATACGTCAAGAAAACGAGCTGCAGCGTCTCCAGCCTCCGG